GAGACAAATTACTGTATACAGTTTCCTCAGCTTAACTGCCAGTGATACAAATCTCAGTTGATGTGAATAATTTGATCACAAGTTTTCGTATTTTCCGACAATAGTGATCATATTCAACTTCATGATTCATGATCGGTATTGATGAGTAAATCAAGTTTCAGTCAAGATGAGATTCTGCAACTTTACGAACTTCAGTCAACTAGTATGCCGAAAGTGTTGACTCGTTTCGAAAGGATTGTTGTAAGCTTCTGTAAAGAAATTTTGTGTTAGTAATTACTGTTTATATTCCGCTTAAGAATGACAGTGGTTTCGAGGGACTTTACTATCGCCTATCGCTCTTGTGTTCGTGATAAAATCATCATTCAAAAATGTTTTAATCTTATATTCGGTTACAGTTCTTTTTATTTGAACATTTTTTTAACATTTTAGTGAGCGGGAAGCATACAATCGTCTCATGAACGAAGTAGAAAATGAAATTGATCAACATATCACTGAGATTCAATAGCGTGCTCGAGAAGAGGTTTCCAGCGTTTCAAATTCATTTTTCAAAAATCACATCACTGATTTTTATCTCTTCATGCAGTACTTTCTTGCCAAGGGTATTCATTACCAGTTAAATCCTTTATAGTGGTTTTTTTGATGGGATAGCTATCAGCTTTTAGCATCATTTATGCAGTTTTATTTTTGCAATAATTATTATCTTTCCATACTATTAAATCATATTTTTTTTGCAAGAAACTGTACAACAAAATGCAACATTAATATACGTGAATTATATATACTATCCTATCAGTTTCATTTCGATTTTATCTCCTTCAACAACATCAATTGTTTGGTGGTCACAAGAAGTCGTAAATTTTTATTCACTAACTCTTCCATCTTTTGCAATTTAATCTGTTTTGGTTTCATTCACCAAATCTGTCGTTGTTATTTGATAATACAGCGCTACCGGTCATTTTCTTTCATCTTGTGGCCGAAAGGAAGTTCAAGTGCGAAGCCGAAAGGAATCTTTGGCGCATGTGACAATGATGAAGATGCTGGTAATAACATTCTGATTAAATAACAATATCTTTGAGATGGTCAATTTTACTAAATGCAGAATTGTAGATAAAGTAACTTAATGTAGTTTGTTGAATGGAATCTTGACATCGTAGCATAAGATTTTTTAGATAATGAATTGACATTGAAATATGACGGTCTCGTTAAAATATCAACAGCAACTACCGTACATTTAACGTTTTTTCTAAAAAAATATCTTGGATTCGTAAATTCTCCATCATAGAGGAATGGATTGGAAATCTCGTGAGAATTCAGTTTCAGGGATTTGGAGAATCAAATGGTCCACCCGAAAGAACTTTTCGAGTGGTAATGTGTGGTGATGCTGCAGCAGGTAAATCATCGTTAGTCACTAGAATTATCAAGGGAACTTTTCCCTGGAATTTGCACAGTACTCTCGGTAAATTTATGCGCTTTTTGTAATGAAAAAATTTTCCAGAGAATTCCTTCATCCATAATGCGTTAATAAATTCGTTTACAGAACAAAATACAAATATAAAATTTAAGGACTTTAGAAATTTTAATTCAAATATAAATATGATCGAAAATAACACAAACTAATGCATAATAACTGTATGTGCTGCGAATGTTCAACATAGTTAATACCTGGAAATTATTCTAAAGAGACTGTTTCAATATTTTAGTGTATTTCTTTTTGCTAAGATCGATTTAGCAATAGCGATTAAAGTGATGCTTTACAATAGTGATCGGAATCAGCAGTGAACGAAGAAAATTTAGGAGTTGATTTTTATGTAAAAACTATCAATATCGACGGGAAAAATGTTGCAATACAATTGTGGGGTACAGCTGGTCAAGAAAGATATCACTTTTTAACTTATTTCATTGTAAGCTCGGTTATTGATTGAATGAAGAAAAAGTTCATTGTTATTCTATACTAAATGTTTCTCGAAATATTACAAATTTTTGACAAATCATTTCTTGTTCTTCAATTCACTCTACTTACAATTTTAGTTATTTCAATGTTATTACAAAAAATATTTTGATAAATACTTTTTTGCAAACTTTTCTTCAGATTTCGCAGTTTATGCAAAAGTTATTTTCGACGAGCTGATGCTGCGATTCTTGTATATGACTGCACTGTTGAAAGTTCATTCCTTAATGTTCGTGATTGGATTGCGACAATTAAGGTTCATTTAGGGATTTTATTGTATGCTTCGAGTCTTCAACAACGTCACTTCCTGGCGTACGCTATGTTAGGGATATCATCACTCTGAGTTTGCTTTCACTAACTTTACGACCTTTCTTTCGTGTTCATATTTTTTAAAGTTTTGATTCTTAAGGAATCGACCATGAAACATACCAATTATGATATGTGCCAATAAGATCGATCTTAGAGATGCTCGGTTCACTGAAACTGTTTCCACGAAAGATGGCGAAGCGATAGCAGCAGTAAATTTCCGATTTCATTTGTTTTATTTAATTTTAAATATTTAGTTTGATTTTGTCTCTTTTCTCTCACTTCATTTCTCAACTTTAACTGAAATTCTGATTTAATTGAAGGCAATCTTCAAAAAATTTAGGCAGTAGGCGTTCTGTTTGCGGAATGCAGTGCCTTGAATGGTATTAACGTTGAAGGAGCTCTGATGAATTTGATTAGGTACGGCATGATATAATTGCTGGTTGGAGTTCACTATTTTCTTTTCAAGAAAAAATTTTTGCAGAGAGCTGGTAGCGGCAGAAGATGTGAAAATCATTGAAACTGGTGTGATTATCATGTCAAAATTTTCAAAGAAAACAAGTAATTTATGTTGCTTAAGGAGTTGAATTTCAATTTCTTGTCTTCACAGTTATTTTAAAAAAATTACCTTCAATTACCTTCATATATTATTTATTTGGTTGAAGTATTTATTCTACGACATGCAATGTTCATTTTTTTCATCTTATCAAAGCATGCATTTTTGTGACCCCATAAGAGTAGGAGTATTGATACCAAAATAATTGCTGCTGCTTTACAAATTGTGTGGTCCAGTGGATTAAATTTTATAAATTCTATGCTTTCGATCACGACCATGTAATGCTTGTCAGATGGAGCAAGATAATTGTTAAAGTACGCCATTTTTTATAAATAAAATTTACTAGGACTTTTTTAACGTTGGGTTCCGCTGTTATCTATAGTGGCAAGAGTAAATTTTTGTCAGTGAACAAATGCTTTGAATGAACAAGTGCATAGCCGGATAAATTCTTATAGATACTTTTTTCAATTAAAAACCCACATTAATTAAGTTTATGTAATTCATGCACTTCAATTTTAAAAAGGAACTTATTGTTCTTTTAAACAAAGTTACTATAAGAAAATTTTTTTCCAAAAGGAATTTATTATTCTTTCATAAGTATCTCTTTCTAAAAATTTAATGCTATTTTTGCTCGCATATTCTTAAGTACTTGTTTTCATCCTTTCAAATACTATATTTAATATAATATGAATATTTTACTGTTTCAAAAACATTGGTACGGCTTTATTCACATGAAGTTCTTCATATCAACAGGGGAGAAATGCAAAGTTCGAAAATGTTCGAAATTAAACTAATTGAGCTTAACTGCTGCGAACACTATCAATCACTTTTTTCTCCGCATCTAATTATTAGCATAAGTAGCAGAACTATAAGAAATAAAGAATAGGTGATCCCCAACATCGAAAGCCATTATTGGGTTTGAAATGTATATATAAAATATTTCGTTCTAATTTGTTGTTGGTAATGATGATAGGAGGGATATAAACAGAGAGCATCTATCATCTTAATTACTAAGCACAAATTCTTTCACTAGGCGGTTAATTTTCCTTCACCCAAATACTTTGAAATGTACTGTTGAATTTCAGAGCTCGCTTAGTACATAGTCATCACACAGTTAATTTATAATAGAAGGAAGTATAGAAATATTGATGAATTATATCCAAAGAAACTCCTATTCTATTTGGGTCATCTACCGAGAGGTTATCTATCGGTCAAATTTAACGGGAAAAATACCCTCCTTGACCTGATTGTTCCATGTCTCTATCCATTTCATGGGGCACAAATCCATATAAACGTTTCGGAAAATTTTGCACGGCTCGTGTTTTTCACCAAGCAATGTTATACAGCGGTGATAATCAACATAGTAATCGAAGCAATGTCGTGTCACCTTATACTGTGGATAGCGTACATCATGAGGTGCGGACCATAAAATACCATCTGGTCCTCGCTGTTTTTCGTTATACTCTCGGGAGAACCATTCCGGTGCGTCAGGCTTGCGAGCTTTATATTCGTTATATTTCTTTTTGAGCTGTTCAAGTCGTTCACCCAATGTTTCCGGTACGGAAGAGAATTCGTCGTCCATATCTGGAATACATTTTTTTTTCTTTTTCGCCTATTGTCGGCAATATTAATTAGAGTACAAAATTAATCTGTAAAATATGTTATCGAGTATTCCTATAACCTATTGTCATGTGCTGAAACATGATGTATACCTTATGTACAATGTCATGACCAATAATTTAACTGGACGTACTTTGATTCCAACTGCAGATTTAAAGCAATAAAGAAATTCAGTTATGAAACAGCCGGTTGAAAGCAATCAGAAAGAAAGAAATAAAGAGAAAGAAATCGTTGAAAGTTAAAATTTTTTTAAAACATGCAAATATTTGGTCATTTCAATTGCTTTCGTTAAATATGTAAATTTTGTTGATAGTGTGCGATGCAATATTACCTAAGCATTTTTCCACTTCTATATTTTATTTGTTGCTAAGTACCTTTACGCTGAACTTCCAAATTCCCTTAACGAACATTCATTTTTGAGATCGCTCTCTCTCACAAGACATGAGACGCCTTCCAATTATTGTAATGTAAATCGCAGCAACTGAAGTTGCGTATTAATATGTAATCTGAATTATTTTTAATACTTTTAAATTATCACATTAATTTTCATATTTTCAAAATCTTAAATTATCACATCAATTTTCATATTTCCAAAATCCACATACGTATATTTATATAAAATGAATGTGCGTAAAAAAAAATGTAAAATGATTGTGCTTAAAAGTCATTTATTATTGATTAACAATATTCATGTCTTAAAATATTTGCATAGTCTTTATTTCCTTGCTGAGATAATTAGTAAGAAATAATCTAATAATGAAATTTAAACTCTATGTTATTGAAATGATCTTTCTGTAGACTGTCCTCACGTTCTAAACAAATTTGCATTGAACATTTTTTGGAGTGAGTTACAAACAGCAGCAAAGTCAATACGCTATTTTTGCAGGTGACTGCGTTAATTTGTTTCTGTTCAAATATAACTGTTCTGCCTTAATTGGGCTATGAAAGATGAAAAGAATAGAACACATAGAAATTATGTTAGTTCAATGATATTTTTTTAATGTTTGTTTGAAAATATTTCAGTCATTCAAGTAAATTTCCCATGCAGGCAAATTGTAAGTAAATTCGGAGTGATTTTAATTACAAGAGTGTAATCAATATATTCGAGAATTATGATGCCAACTCAGGAAAGTAGTTTGAAAAAGTACCAACTCTAATGAAAGCATAGAAACAGAATATCAGAGGTATAATTCCTATTCATATCAGTCGAAATACATGCTTCTCACTGAAATTCGATGCTTTCAGTCTTTTCAGTTCTTCCGTTACAGTATGATATCACTAGGTTTCAGTAATGATTCTCAAGTTTTAGTGTGAGATACAAATTATTGTTAAATGATTGCCCCGTGAACATGTGAAGAGATCAAAAATTTTAATCTATGAATCGAAAGATTGAAGTCGTGCTGTAAGAAAAATGAAATCTCCTGAATCGCTAAAAGGAATTTCTCCGGAATTGAATGCTGTTTATGCTAGTATGATAACAAAATATCCTTTTCCGAAAGTTGAGAATCATTGGTGAAACTCTCAGTATTTAGCCTGCAGTTTATTGTTAAACAAATTCAAAGGTTGCAATTTTGGTTGCTTGCAATCTAAGATAATTCTACAGTGTATTACTGGTCGATATTGCAGCGTTTTTTTTGCTACGAGATATTCCAGGATTGATGCAAGTCTTGCAATCTAAGATAATTCTACAGTGTATTACTGGTCGATATTGCAGCGTTTTTTTTGCTACGAGATATTCCAGGATTGATGCAAGTTAATAAAGTTTTAGCAAATAATCTTTTAAAAAAAAATAGAATTTCAGAAGAATTTCGAATCTCTCTGAAGAACTGTAAGAGACGAGCATTTAGTCTCCTTCGTGTGAACAATAACGAAATGCTCCTTAGCCGAGCCTAGTGGTGAGGTGTTACCTGTCTCTTGTTTATTCAGCGTCATTTGTTGGCCTTATTTTGATGTCTCATAGCTATTTACTTTATACTATTTCCTTAATCAGTCAAATTGATTATCTTATAATTTATATACGTTTGTTTATCAACATTGCAAAATGCTAAAAACAATTGTAGGATATAATACAAATTAAGCGCACAGATTTATGTAGTAGCACTAAGATTAAACAAAATGCGTTTGACGTGTTTCAAAAAGCTTCCTCCATAGTTTCCTACAAATCGTGAAAGTTTCATTAATCTTCAACCAGTGCTATGAAGAAATGAAAATGAAAAGATGAAATTTGAGAGAAGATTGAAGGTTGAAAAAAATTTACGTATTAGATTCGCAACAAGGCAAGAAGCTGGTAAGCTATTGAACTGATAACTAATTATATAAACTGGCAAGGAGCAAATGATTGAACTGATAACTAATTATGCAAACTAACTCAACTCTACAAATATTGAATGAGAATTTTAATTAATTAAGCACTTATAAAGAATTGATTGGCGGATCTTGCAATACACCCTCCAAACTTTTCCTTAAAGAAATTTCAATAACTAAGAAGGATTTATTCTGCAAGGTAAAAGTAATTTGAGGGCAAGATTTTCCAAGCCGCACTGTTAACCAGTAAGTAACAGAAGACAATAAAAACAATGTAATGTTTTAAAAGATAAAAATAAAACAACAATACACTGAATCCATATGGGAAAAAGATATGGATTGTTTAAATAAATCCATATCTTCTTCCCATATGGATTCAGTGTATTGTTGTTTCATTTTTGATTATCTTTTAAAACATTCCAAATTAATTGATAAAGTTGCAAAGTATACAGTCATGAAAATGTAAAAATATTCCAACAACGTAAAACAATTAATGGCTGAAATGGTTAAAGGAAATGAATCAACTTTAAAAAAAGATCACAGTCATGAGGAATGGTAACAATTCATTTTAAAGTTGCATGTTATGAGCATTAAATTTGCAAAAAATCCAAAATTTAATCAACCAAAGTAGATTACATTTGCGCTGATTAGGAAACTATAAAATTTTGTTTTCACACAATTTTTTCGGTCATTTTAATGAATTCACAGCTTTGCAATAAATTGTCAAAATGCTTCATCTTTTACATGTGTACAACGATATTTTATTTAAACTTGAATCGTTGAAGTAGTGAGGTGTATTTTAAAACGTGGGTATTCCGAAGAATCGATATTTTGAACAATGAAATAACTCCCAAAAATTGCAAAGAAATGCATTTAAAACACTATAAGGTGAAAGAGCTGCAGATTATGTACACCTCTATAAAATTTTGAGAAAAACAGAACTGAAAACTACAAAATGAACATGAATGTGTGAAATGACGCAAGTGTAAAAAAGTACCTATTATATAAAATTGCACATTTCACAAAAATAAATCTTCAGTTAGCTAAATTTTTCGGTTCCTTGAATGTTTTGACAAGTAAATTTACTGAGGAACCACGTTTAAGTGTGATATGTTGCTAAACGTGTGTCGATATTTGACTTATTGGTCGCTCTTGCATTCGCACTGCACCGTTCTGTAAGGCACCTGCACATTCCGCATCCGATGTTGATACTTTAGACATTGTTTCCAGTAGCGCACATCCCTGGATGCTGATTTTGCTTGTTAAAGATATTTCATTAAATTTAATTTCCAGCGTACTATACAAGAACTGATCCTTGGATTGCCTTAAGAAAGTAAATGCAGAACTAAAAATTTAATGAATTCTGAATGAAGCATTGGCAGAATTTGAGCTGAAGCTTCCACTATCTCGCTTCTTTTTCGGTTAATAAAACCTCCAAGGAATCTCAGCTGGCAAAAATCATCAAACCCGAAGCTTTCTAGCCTAGAACTTATGAGATGTAGACAGATGACTCAATTTAACGTACACAACTAGAACACGTGTTTCACGAAATGATTTAGTAGTAATAGCAGAACCATATTCCGAAAAGTGGAAATTTCGTTAAAAGTAAATCGTAAAGTGAATAGCAAAATTAAGGAATTCGTTTGAATATCTAATTCGTTTAATCAGGTAATACTTTAATCAACTCATTATTACTACTTCAGGCTTCGTTTATCTATTATTTAAAAAGAAAGGTTATGGCAAGAAAAAAAAACTAGCTAAATTTACCTTTGGATTCTGATAGCGATATGGTTCAGATGTGGTAACAGCAGCGGTACTTGCACTTGATGCAAAACTATTGTAGGGATGATTGATATGCATATTTTGTTCATCAATGCCACAATCAAAAGAATGTGATGCACAAGCTTTGTAAATGCTTCTATTAATAAGCGGTGAAGATGATAAATAATAACAGTTTGGATTACTTTGTGGCACCGGTATATAATCCTAAAATTTCACTTAACTTATATATTGATATGTTTAAATGTCATGCAATACAATCCCTACATAAAAAGCAGCTTGTATTTCTTTTAGCTTTTTTTAAAAAGCAATACAATCAATAGAGAAAATAGGAAAATGTTTCTTTAAATCATAAACTAACTTCAGAACAAAGAAGTTGATGACTTTCGTTTGATATAGAATTATACATGTCAGTAAAAAACTGATCGCCAATAAGCGTTTCAATTTTTACATTCACATCAGAATGATCATCTAAAATGAAATTTAATAAAAAGGACAATATTAACGGTAGTGGAAAAGATATGTTAAAAGTATATGAAAAATATATTTGCACAAACGTACCGCTGAACTGAGCAGCATTTTTGTATGAATTTCGATGACATTGCCAACAACCACAACAACCCATAACGAACAGAGCTGAGAGTAATAGGAAAGCAGTTGGAATAAAATATTGCGGTGGTACAATTCCTGTAATCGTTGTGAATAGTCTCTTTATATCGACAATGTTGATGATATCATTTGGGATGTATCACATACCAAAACTTTATGATTCATGAGAATTGAAGAAAATATGACAGAATTTAATGTTATGTAAAGAATAGGTGGGAATCAAATTGAATGACATGTGAGCTTTCAGTATGAAAAACAAGCAAGTATCTCACAATTTTTTATCCAGATAGCAAGTTCGAACTATTTCATCTAGCATTACATGAATTCCACTCATTCATAACCATTAAACTACACAGCAATGACTACAAATCTATTTTGCCATAAACCATAAAAGAAAGGCAACTTCTATTATTCAAGAGTATCTTGTGAGCAATTAATCATTTTCTCCAAAATTTTACGCATTTAATTTTGTCATTTTCAGCTATCTTTTCATTCACAACACCTTCTTGTTCTTAATCATCGTCATGCTAACTTTTTATTGATTTTCCTAGTAAATACAATTCTCAAGTTTAAATCATACTCATTTTGCCGTCTAAAACATTTTTCTCTCAATCTCCATCTCCCATAAATTCTTTCAAATTCCAAAGATTGCTAATTTTCCCAAGCACATAAGTCCTTTAAAAAAATCAATAATTTTCATGCATTGGCGTGAGAATTAATAGTACGTTCTGTTCTTTGAAATTGCGCTTTCTTAGAATGCCGTTCACTAGCTTTCTATAAATATTTTCAATTTGTCATAAGTTCGGAATTCTATGTTTCAACTTACTAATTTACTACAAATTATTTTATATAAAAAAGAGGAAAAGAAGAAGGGAGAGATTACCAATAAATGCGTCCACTATGCTTTTCGGTTTCAATTGAACTGTCTGGAAATCCTTGCCCAATTCATTATAGGCAGTGCAATTGTACGTACCAAAATCCGAATCTTTGACATTTTGAATAGCTAACCGACTTTCTACGCCAAATTGCCGCGGGACTTGATGAATCTGTACTTAATTATCTTAGAAATGATCCTTTAAAATTTCTGTGATCAAAAATTACTCACTTTTAAGGCGTTGGAAATTTTCTGGCATATTGGAAACTTAAAATTTTTCAGTATGTGAAAATGAATTTAGAGTTTTTACTTGAAATCGACCGCCTAAACGTCCATATTCAAACGTTATCCCATTTAAGGACCACAAAACATCTTGTGGCTGCGGACGGCCTCGTACCTGAAAGCTTTCTTACTGTAGTTAATTCGGACTATAATTAGTTACTTTGTTCTTTGGAATCAAAAAGGAACATGAAACGATAGGTCTGGAAAAGAAGAAATTAGAGGATAAGAAAAATTAATATTTACTGAAAATGATAGATGTAGGACAAGCATGGATATTTGGAATCAAAACTAGAGAATGAACAATTTTTGTGCCAAATACAAAATAATAAATTTATTTATTGCTTGGTTTTAAAATAACTTTTGTAAACTACAAGCAACTGAAATATCATGCAAACAAATTTATTTTATTAATTTAGACTAAAATTCGTAGATTATTGCAAAAATCTTTGCAGTAAAAATTTTTCAAATAAATAAGGTGATAGAACCGAAAGACTCAAAAAAATTTAACTGTTACAAAGGTCAATTAATAACTATCAGGAACTGAATTACTCAAAAGAGAATAGAATAATGATCAAAAAATTTTTAAAATACGCATTAACAAACCTCACAAATAATCTCAAGACTTTCTCCAACACCGGCAACAATTTCATCACCCAACCTTACAGAAGGTGGTCCCCTAATGTGTAAATAATTTATTAAACGTGCAGGCGGAAATCCCTGGACCGTTGCTACGCATTCATATTCACCACGTTGCCAACTTTGAACTGATTCAATTGTTAAACTGGAATATACATAGTGAAGTTTCTACAATAAAGTTTTTTTTAATTATGACTCTATTCCCATATGGTCAGAAACTTTGAGCAATGAGCAAAAGGAAAACTTTTTCCTTCTTTTTATCTCCTTTTCTTGAATAAAGTTGCAACTACATAATGTTGATCAGATTACAGATTACATCAAATTCCAGATTATATATTAAGTATGTTAAGATTTCTAAAAATTTTGCAAAACAATGGAAAATCAATGAAAAATTGTGAATTTACTTGTTTCCGCGAGCTATGATTTCACTATCAGCTACTTTAGTCCAATAGATTGTTGGAGTTGGATTTCCAATAGCTTCACAAACAAATGTTGCTGTTTCGCCAGGATTTACCGCTTGATGCTGCTCACGTGACATTATGTAAGCTCCATCTACAATTGAAGCATTAAAATTTATTCCATCACAATTTCAATATTCATATCTATAATTTCATATTAAACTGAAATTATCTGTATTCGGTACTAATGTTGTAAAAATTCCAGTAAGGTGAGAGTGATAAAAAGTATCACTATTCAAGTGATAAAGATTACATGTAACATTGAGAACAATAGAATCAGAAGAATCGCCAATTATATTTGTTGCAACACATGTATACTCAGATTGGTGATGGTCAATTCTTAACTCGGATATTGATAACGTCTGTAATGTTTCCATTTAGTATAAACATTATGCCTAAAAAGTTGATATGCAATTTATTTACTAGACTCCTCACAGAAGTTAATTATACACTTATAAAATATACTGTTAAGATTACTATTATATCAATTCCATTTAATTTTTCAAAAGAAATAAGTTATAAATCTTATACATTTAAATTTGCAAATAAATTGACTTATCGGACTAAGAGTGAACCCAATAAAATTTTTTGTTCTTAGCAATATCGGCAGGATAATAAAGAAATTAAAGAGTAAATATGTGCTAAGATTGAAACTGAATTTAAGGAACAAGAAAGTTAACATTTAAACAGAATTTATAAGGTAAATTAAGTTTAATCAAAAATCATGCACAAACATTAGATGTTGCAAGGGTGATTGCTTTTCCATTTCGGTACCACGTTATTTTGATATTCTCGAATGGTTTAGCTTTGACGTTGCAGAGGAGTTTTGCCGAACCGTGCTCATAAAGCTTGGAATTATTGTCCAGTTTCACTTCTACTTTTGGCGGATAGTTTAAATCAAGTCGAACAGCATATGATCGTGTCGTTGTGTAAGTTTCATGGCTCACCAAGCATACCAAATATTTGTCATCGTCTTCCATCCGAGGTGCAAAACTATGAATCACATTTAAAAAATTTTCAAATTGTTTTTTTTTTATTCATAGTACCATCAGTAGAATCCGAAAGTTAATATCAGTCACTACTTTTTAGCAAAATGTTGATTATTTTTAAATATCCAATAAATTCATTTTTTGTATAATTATAAATTATGTTGAGCATAAATATTTCTTTACCTTATATTGCTGATAACATCGTAAGTTTGATCGTTATTAGAGCTAACATATTCAATAACGTGTGCATTTTGTATTTCTTGACCATTATTAGCAAGCTCTAGAAAACCTCAATATATTTCGTGAGAAATATAACAAATTATTTAGGAACTGTTGAGATTTCATTAAAAAAAAAGGTAATGATGAATTTTGAACAGATCCAGAAGAGTGTTCTCAGTGCAGTAAAAAACAAACATGCTATTTTTATGAATTGAAAATTTAAATTAATTTATGAAAATCACAAGCAAAATGTATTTGAAGCACTGTTACTAAACTGCCCATGAATAAGATGGACATTGTGAATTTCAGACATTAAAGTGAATTGCATGAAGCATACCAAAGACCGGATTGAGCTTAGCCTTACTGTCTCCTAGCCAAATTGAAACACTTGAGGCATTTAGATCGTCAGATATGACCCAGCCTATTTTTGCCTGCGGTTTACCATGTGTGCTTATGCACGATCGTTGAATATGTTGTCCAACCACTGTTCTCAGATTGGATACAGGTAACAACAATTTTGGATCTTCTGGTTTAACTAAAATTGATTGCAATAAAAAAATTCATTTAAAGAGTTTTGTAATCGAAAGCAAATTTGAAAGTACTTTTGAAAGCAAGAGATTACCCACCTAAAACAGTAAGTTTAGCAATATTGGATACCCTGGTTGGGCTTTCATTGGCTGCTTCAACCTGACATGCATATTCATCGTCATCATCCATTTGTACATTAATTATCCGCAAATTATATTCTCCCTTACTAATCCTACCTTCCATACTATACCTTTTGAATAAAGATAAATCACGATCGTTTCCCAAACCAAAACCATTTTTCATCCATTGCACTGCTCCTTGCTACAAAAAAAATTCAACTGAATTAAAAATGGTATTGTCGAGATAGAATATTTTGGCGCTTATGAAAACCTTTTCGAACGAAAAATTTCAGAAAGACATGCTAATCAGTGTTGATTTATTGTTTGTCTGTTTAAGTAAACACACCTGTGCTTCAATACGACATTTTAAAAGAGCTGTACTACCAAGTAAAACTCGAGTATCTGTGGGGCCTTCAACGATTCTCTGTTGGGAATGTACATAAGTTGAAATGGTTATTATTATGTAAACAGGTGACCACTTCATTCCTGAAAACATATCAATCATTCTCGATTACGCTGACTATACATTTGGGATTGCACATCAAAGTTGAGATCACAATTTTTAGACAGGATATTTCAAAGCCTAACATCATAAAACATTCATAAAACAAGTCATGCAGTGAACGATTCTTTTATGTGTATATCAGATACTATTATTGCGCGATCTCATTCACAACGCTGGATTGTGCATATGTTTTATCTGCAAATGCAGCTTAACAAATTATTAAGACACTCAAAGGAAGTTATAAAAACCAAGTTTGAAAACTCATGGCGAAAAAATGCACTTTTGCTTCATCGTCAAAAAACGAATACCAAAAATAACTTTCTTGCTTTCAAAATTCTCGAGAATGCCACTAAATATATATTTACTATATGCTATCCTTTAGCTTCATCTTTCATCTTTTCCGCTATTTAACATGTGAATGAATGTTATAGAAGAAAGCATTAATAGCAAATGTTTTTGAAAAGAGTAAAAATCGTTTTTTTTAAATGTAGGATTAGTTTTAACAAGGATTGAATCAAAGGTAAACAGTGCATATTGCTGATTCTCATAATGCTGTTTAGAAATTATGAATGTGGAAATGTAAAAGTGCACAATTTATATAACAAGAATTTGATGCTGTCACTGAACTATTTACAAATATGGGGTTAAAATTGATATTCTTCAATTTTATCAAAGCCACGTGATAAGGACAAAAAATAATTTGTTAACTGAAAGCTATTTAATTTATTTTTTTGTCAATAATAATAATAAACCGAATCAAGAAACAAAGAATAGGTTAAATAGAGAATAAGTAAATCGACAAATGGGTTTATTTTTAATTTGAAGTCCTTCATAGTTTACGAAAGATATTGTGTTATAAATACTAGCAAAAAAAATCAATTAACAATACTAATTAACCTATTTCAATTATATCTATCATATCGCAAAGAAGTCAAATGAATCAAAATTGTATTCGAACCTAAAGTTGTTTCATTTTCTGCAGTTGAAAATTTCATTGAAGAAAGAAATTCACATATATGCGAAGTTTAAATTCTACTAGTGATTCTGTAGAATGTATTATGTAAGAAAAATGTATTCATAAAGAAAATTTTTTTTGGTAAAAAGTGTAGTTGAATCTTTAATGATGGGAATTGATGAGGTGATCTATGACACACGGCGATAATTCGTGACTATCATTAACTCGATGGAAAAAAACTTAGAACGAAAATATATAGCTTTTGAAACCGGATTTCATTTATTTTTTAAAATAAAAGAATGCCTTATTATGGAAGATGCAAGCAGTAGTGTTGCATACAATTTGTTTATTCGGACTTCCGCTGCTCGCATTAAATTTTTCTAAAAATCGTTTCTCAAATTTGTCAATCAGAACAATTG